AACACCCCACTAGAGGCGCACCAGGGCGACTGTGCCAAGCTAGTAGTAAATTCCTTGCAGGTTTGCACGACAAGCGTCGGAGAACATAGGCACAAATGGGACGGAGGAAGACTCCGGCCACTTTATTCCCAGAGATTAGATTTCTTTGCACTTTTATTTCCTTAATTTATGATTCATTTGTGTCTGTCTGAAAAAGAAACTCACCTACTCCTTCCACTGTCCCTTACTCTAAATGTACTTTGCTATTCGCGACAGTTTTTGGTCAGATGTGGTTATGTAGCACCACCCGAGTTGAGCAAACCACAATCACCTATAATACGGGTAGGTGGAAATAGACCTTTTTGCAGCTGAGGAGGAGGAACGCACAGGCGACGACGTCAATTAGTTGTACGCAAAAGAAAAGCCATTGGGAATGCGTGGATATACTTTGAGTGGTTGAGAAATAGTTACCTTAACCCCTAACCCTAATTCCTAACCCTGACCCCTAACCCGTAACCCTAACCATAACTCCTAACCCTAACCCCAACCCCACCGGTATTGTGTCCACCAGGTGGGGCTACATAACGATATCTTGCCCAATATTTTATTTGCCTTATTGAGAACCTTCAATTTGTCAGAATTACACGAGGTGGACATTTATATGAGAAGCCAAAAATGTAGCTTTTCGGTTTATTTACCAGAGTAAATACAGTTGCTGATCCGGCTGAAGAAAGGTCGCGATGGAAGGGAAGTATATGCGATCGCTAGAATCATAACTTTTTTCGCCTGTCATGTGGATTCACATTTAAACCCCCCCCCCAGCAGAGACAATACGGGAGGTGAGCAATGCATGCGCAAGGGTTCGCTAATTCCTGCAAATCAGATTTTCGCTTGCATCGGCAGAGGTCATGTATTCCCTACAGCACACAGACCACCCATCCCGCATCCACGGATGTTTTATTGGTTTATAGGTTTTATTTATTAGTTCGGAAGTATTTTTTTGGAAAAAGCGACATTTGCAGAAACGAAGTAACTTATTGAAGGCCCAGTGTAATCCATGGCAGGAAAAGGAATCACAATGCGACGAGAAAAGCATGAGAAGTAATGACAAATACAAGGTATGGTGCTTTGTTTGTTGCCCCTATACCCTTTGTACACTTGTGAGTCTGGCATAAATCAGAGGTGCTAATTCGTCAATGGTGGACTGGTTCATACAGCGGGACGTCCCGCTTCTGTTGCATTGAAAAGTCGCTTTATATCAATTACTTCTGAATTGAGATCTGGGCTGTTGGCCGCTGAGATTTTTCCCGCTCATGCTAACCCTCCTTTGCAGGTGAATGCACACGAACAACCGGCCATAGCCAGTGATACTCAACAGAATTTTAAATCATTTGATCTGGAAATAATTGCCAATGCTTCAAAAACGGCCTACGAGTTGAATGCGCTGGACAGACATGAGGGCTAGATGGAGCTCTGTAGGCGTTATTTTGGGTGTTCACCCATAGCAAGTTTTAATCAGAGCCGTCCTCCTTCCTTTTGCTGTTGAGTAAAAATCTGGTCGGTTATTTGTTGTTGACCAGAGAGTGTGGTGGCGCGTTCGGGTGAGGGTTTTCGCACTGCGGGCCTCCTACGCCCTCTCCCACCTGAGGTTTTCTTGATCCGATCATATCTTTCGGCACAGGTGGAAGATGATGAGAGGAAGTGGTAGATGCTGCACAAGTCGATCACCATTATAAACTAATTTATGCGCGAATCACCTTACCTACTTCTATTCCCCTGTGTGCCACACGATGAAAATAGTCGGAAATAACTGTCCACCTGTCGGAAATAACTTGGATATCAGGGAAACTCTATGTTCACTGCTGCTTACGTCTACAAAAACAAATTTGAAAGAATTTATTGCTCTTCTTCTTCCTCTTTTTATTTGAAAAAAGACTTTTCACGGTTCAAATAAATCCCAAATAAACCGAAATGACAGAACTCCACGTACGCCGTATCATTGATTCAGGTTTGCGCTACGACATTTTATGGGACGCCTCCTGTAGATGAAACCAAGTTGGGAGGACGTGTTTGGATTTTAGCAAACGCACGCGTTCGTAGTATGCAAAAACATTTACCAGGCCAGATCATTTAAGCGCGTATGCGCCCAGCGCTTACAGCTTCAAAAAAATCAGGATTTCTTCTGTTTATACCATCATGACAGCACTTATATTTGACACAACTTTGACCTTGTCTGATGTAGCTGACCTCAAGGATGTCGCAAAATCTACATCCGAATTGACGAAAATGTGTGGTAGCGAATCTGGAGAGCCAAAATCACTCTTTCTTCCAGTTGAAAAAACTGAACACAGAAGGCCTAGGGACCATTTTAATGTCTTAACGGACTCTGTTGAGACATGCTTTGAGTTGCTTTCCTCTTGTACGCAATCAGATGGACAACGGCGTCGAACAGAGAACATTAGCGTTGAGCTCATAATTGAGGCCATGAACAGCCCGCCCTGACCATCTCAGTTGTTTATTCGGATCGTCTGAATTATTTTATCGATATCTGGGTATTTATGACTTCTATACTGATAAGCAAACACGTACTCACCAAATAAATCGAGGACCTTCAATTCTTTCTGAGGTAGGACCATAACGACGCCCTGTTGTCCATTTTATGACCAAATGGTGTAGACTCGGAATGACGTTACAGTTCACGACAAGCCGTTGTTTCTATTTCGCTGATTTTATTTCTGACCGGGCAAAAAGGATTCCCTGCCCATGCTGATGTTTGTCTAATGGACCTTCTTCTTTAGTGTTCACTGTGAGGGAGTGCATCCACAATGCACAAAAATATAGAGCTTTGTGAGGAAAGACTTTGAGTGGATGTTGAAAAAATTGCGGTTCTTAATAAACATAGAACACGCTGACAAAAATAGTTTTTATGAGGTAAGTGTGTTTTCAACCTTAGTGTAAAAGTAAACAGTACCCCCGAAATTCCAGGCAAAATTCTGAAATGTATTTTTGATTCGAAAAGACCACATACGTGGGAATGCAACATTAATAATAATGCAACATCAACCCAAGATATTCCAGTTATGTCGGGGTGTCGGTCTTCTAATGAGCTTTCCTCACTCTGTGTGAATTGTTTTCTTTTATTTTCGGTGTCCATATAAATTCAGATATGTTTTTTAGATACAACAAATAAAAACCTTTCACAAAACATTTGACGTCAAATTTCCTCCTTTTCAATTTGAATCTTTGAGAAAAGGGTATATTTGTCATTTAAACGTTTTTAGGTTTGAGATTTTTAAGGCTCGCGAGAATTCCACTCATGAAGTTTCGCATCCGCCCGTCTAGTAATGCGTTTTACCAGGTATACAAGATGGTGAGCATTCATTGAAAAACTGTTTGAGTTCTATATTACGTCGTTTTAAAAACATAGAGTAATATATAATTTTCCCTACACGGAAGATATACAGCCCGTAGTTTGGGTCCTCTGAATGCAGGTGTGCCGGCAGGGTGGGTTCAAAATTATTCAGGAATTAAAATCGCTTTTTAAAACCTAAACATACTTCTTTTTCAAATAGAAAATTGAGGATGTAATTTTCTATCAAATGCGTATGCGAAATAATATTTGCGCGCATGATTTCCATCAAATTTATTCGAATTTATAATCCCATCTAAAATTAATGTGAATAATATACTTTGATTAATTGATAACTTTTTAAAGAGCGGGATTTTTCAGGTGATCGAGAAGAAGCTCATTCACAAGCTGGTATCGTGACGTAACTGAAATATTTTTGAGTTATGCTGAGTAACACTAAGTGGGTTTTACTAATCAATAGCACACTGTAGGATTTCGACTAGTATTTCTCGAGCCATCACGTGCATTGTAGTAAGTTGTCAGTAAAACTGGGCTTCCGTTCCCCCAAAAGGCCGCCACTGAAAGCACGCAAAAAAACAAAGATTTAATGAACGGAATATGGACCCCTATACTACAGACGCCCTAGAGGTAAGCTCCAGTAAGGTGCCTCTTCCCGTGCCCTAGATTCACCTATTACCCTAACTCTAACATTAACGCTCCTCATTCTGACGCTCTAAAATTTGTGACGGGACCCCCTTGACCAAAAGGTTTACTCATTCTTTCTAAAGCGAAAAGTTTTGTAAAGTTTATTTTTTGTGGCAGCGCACCGTCGCATTTCGTAAGATTCCCGACATAGTACGGTCTCATGGGAAAGAATTGGACTATAAATTCAAGCATTAGTATTTTGAAAATTGAACCAGTTTCGCCGGGGATATTTGCGGCCTTAACAGCCGCAAATTAAATGATAATGGATAATATAACCATGGAAATAAAAGGCGCATTATGGTTATCTCAAAAAATATCCTCATCTAATTATTTCGAGGTTCGGTTTCTTTTATGGCGATGTGGACTTTCAGTGTGAGGTCAAACTTTCCGGCACACTAGGCACGACCAGGTCTTTCGAGAGTACAGACAGAAATTAGTTTATTTCTGGATTTCTTACGTTTTAAATTTTGAACGTTTCTTTAAATCAGTAATCTGCCTATATGCTGTAGTTTTTTCAGGCAGATAAATATGAATTAATTTTCCGTGTGCTTTATTTTGTTTAAATTTGTTTACTACATTTTCCGAAGATCCAATCTTAGGGAGATTAAGATAGGGTCTATCGACAGTTCTGTCTCTTAATTCTTCATATCCTTATCGAGATAACACAACAGCTTGGCTTAGTGAACTAATAAGTAGCGGCCAGACGAGGTTTCCGTCAAGCACGAAAAAATGGCCAATGAAGATGTAAGATACTAGTCCGTCAAATAAATGTTTTTGGGCAAGTAATAATGCTGAAAATATTTACAGCCCTTTTCCTCTTCCTATTGGGAAGCAGAACAGGGCACGTCCGAAAGAGGAGGCTGCGAAAATGTGAAATAGAATCATCTGCAGAATGTCTTAGTGGAATTTCTGACCGAGTCTTTTGCAATAAAAACGAAGGCAAAAGAGGCTGGAGATACCCGTGCAGTCAGACATGCCTCCAGGATTTTACAGTTCCAGAACCTATGCTCACACCACTACGCCAGTGGTGGTGATGATGGCGGTGGTGGTGGTGATGACGGGGTTGTTGCGGGGATTCCATCCCAGACTCAGGCGAATCAAACATTTCCGACTCAGTCTCCGCAAGCCCACTGTCCTCAGAAATGCTAGTGCGGTAGTCTCGACTTCTGGGATATTTCCAAGGCGCTGGAAGGTCGACTGAACTTCTGCTCTTGCGGTCCACGTAACTAAAGCGTGAATTCCCTTGGTTATTCATAGCTCCGGAGTCCAGTTCAAAGAGCCAATTGAGGAATTCACAAAAGGCGTTCAGTTGACCCGATCGATCAAAACTGAGGAACCAGAAGCCTGTCTTTTGTTTCGTGTTGGCGTCGATGCAGATGGCGACAAATTTGTTTGTGTGATTGAATTTATAGTAACCTGAGATGTCGTTATTGAAGATTTTAATCTTTTCGCGGTTCTCGAAAACACCCTCTAGTTCCGTGAGCCGAATTTCATTTTCATCTGCTCGAATTCGTGTTATAGGTCCTGGTAGATCCAGCTGGTCTTTCAGGCAGCGATAGACGTAAAAAAAGCCCTCAGTCTTGTTTGGGTCCGCTCTCCGGAAACCGTAATTGTATCCGAGCTCTTCGAAGCGAGTCACTGTCGTCAGTCTGGGGCGTGACGATTGTGTTCTCTTTGAGGTTCTGGAGGGCGGAGCCGAAGCGTCATAGCTGGTGGCTAAATTGTAGACTCTCCGTCCTTCAGGCATACCAGTTTTATCAATAAACGGCGAAGAAGTTTCAGCAAAACTCAGCTATAAACTGGGTTTTAGTCGAAGCAGTAGATCAGGCACAATAGATCTTGTTAAATATAACTGAAGCCCAGTTGGTTCCAGTGCCCTCGCGATTGGTTTCATTTTATGCGACGAATGGTAAGCTGACAGCCATCTGAGCAACCGTGAGAATGAGCCTGCGTCAAGGTCACAGTGAAAAGGCCTGTGACGGCTGCAGTTACCTTTCCGAAAAATCGAGTCTAGCATGAAATTGAAAATATCCACGTAAATTTTTACCGACATGTTCGTAGTTTTTTACGTTGTAGCGGCAAATCCATGATAGAAATGCGTGGTCTTTATCTTAAAACCGGAAATAAGTGCGGATTTTGTCCTTGATTTAGGTAAGAGTTACAGAAGTTTCGAAAAAGGAAATAGTAAAATAATCCTGCATATTCCGTGCCCTAAACTCTGGATTTAGTTACGTCAAAAAGCAATCATGGAAATCCGTTTGAAAATCGTCATTAGATCTTCATCCAACTTTATCTTGTCGGTTAAATGTATATAGGAGTTAGTTAGTTTTTGTGAGAATAACGAATAACGGGCAATATTTTTAAAACGAATAATGACCAACAAATAAAAACTCATCATTTGCTACAGTTTCTATCGCAACACTGGTGTTTGATATTCATGGCTCTAGTGCAATGTCCATTTTTCGAAGGGTTTACATTACAACCAAAGTTAAGTCTTATGCGAGGACGTGCAATCAAATTTTTAACAGATTGACATGAACACATTTGACATGTGAGAAAAACTGACGTTTCAGCTACTTAAGGTAGAATTTCGGTTCAGGTCAAATCCCAACGAGAAAGAGCTTAAATTTGATTTTAATAAAACTCAGCAAACGAAGGCAACTTCTATCATACAACGCGAAAATGTAATGTAGGTACTGAGAGCTGACGTATCATGTTAGATGTTGGCACCCTAAATTCTAATATGCGTTATCGACTAAGAAGGACTACATGGATGGAAATGTTATATTGAACAGTTGCCCCACAATCTCAAAACTTTCAAGTCACGCCAGAATTTGGGGTTTTAAATGCGCATACAGTAGGTGGGCTAACTCATGAAATGTGAACCGAAATTCCGAAATGCGTCTTTGTTTCGAAAAGATTAATTAAGCAGTGTTTTCAAACTGCTCACCGTTCTGCATAATTCTATAAGAATTCAGTTACCGCAGGATGCCGGCTTTCCAATGAACTTCTTTCCGGTTGCGTGCAAAACCTATACTCTGTGAAAAATGACTACTACATAGAGGACGTAATTTTCTACCGAATGAGAAAGATAATAAATATTTGTCTGCGTGTTGTCCATAAAATATTACTGAACTTTGAAGGGCATCGAAAATCAATAGGAAAAATGCATGCTAATGAGGTAGTCATTTTTTACAGAGTAAGGTTTTTGCACGCAGCCGGAAAGAAGATCATTCGAAGGACGGCATCCTGAGGTAACTAAATCCTTATAGATTTATGCTGAACGATGATCAGTTTTACACCACTGTTTAATTAATTCGGTTGACATTTCCTGAGTTAGCCCACCTACTGTATTCGCGGCCGTTTTCAACAGTCACACTCAGTACAAATTAACTACTTAAATAGTGTGATTTTTCTCCTTAGGCTAACGTCCTCAAGATCTTAAACATGTGTTTTGCAGATAGCCCATGCACAAATGTTCTTTCATACTCATTTAATGGAAAATTACATTTCCTTAAAATAAATTGTTCATGAAATCGGTATCCTTCACTTTTAAAAGGTTTTCATTTTCCGACCAATTTTAAAGTCACCTTCAGTTTAGGCTGTAGTTTAGGCTTTTAAACTTTTAATTGATCATTCTCAATATGAGAAAATAGTGGAATTTTCGTTTTATTAGAGGGATGTCATATACTGATTGCGAAATTGCTCGTTTGGAGAAGATAGTGTTGCATACTTCACTGGAGTCATTAATTGACCAAAAGATGCCTTGTTACCGGAACGAGTGTTTTCAGCTCTTAAAAGGCCTTATAAATCTAATCTTTTTATATCGAAACTACTTTTATTCGAATATATAATCTTAGGCAGATGTAAGTCTCTACCAAATGGGTAAATGAAAACAGATTTTATGCTTGTTTTCCACAATATGTTTTAATTTATTAGGACATCAAAAATAGAGGAAAAAATTGTTATTTCTTGAGTAGTAACTCCTTACTGAGTGTATTTTTTGCATATGGACGCAAAAACGCATTCTGTATCTGACATTTTGAAGTGACTGAAATACCTTGGAATTATGCTGCGTAACGATCAATATTAAATACAATTTAAGTTATCCTTTTAATCAGGACCATATTTTAGAATTTTGCTTAACATCTTATGAGATACGCTTATGACTGTGTATTTTCGACTAACTTCAAAAATTCCGGTTTTAGCAAATCAATGTCTTTTACGATGGAAGATTTGATTTTTTATCCGCCTATCACTATGGCCCGAAAGTCTGCAGAACGTGGCTAGAACGTTCCTCGAAAAAAATCAAGCAGCTGTCTGAAACTTTTGATGGGCTTCAGAATTATTTCGGCAGTACATGGAGAGGCGATTTGTCCGTCAAAGGCCATAAGCAAAACCTTTATCACTGTCATAGCTTCTACTTAATGAAGTTAATTTGAGTGAAAATCAAATCACATGAAAAGCCTGATTTACGCCTGAAATTAATTAACGATCCTTCTCAATTTTACGATTTGTACTCTATTTAAGTGAAAAATATCCCACATCGAGCACAGAGACGTATAAATTAGGTTATTTCCGTTCATATGTACTTTCGAAATATAGCACGGATAAGCGAATTGGGATTGGCAGTCACTAAAGTTTAATTAGTAGATAATCATAAGATTTTTCATCCAAATAATTAATGTCTCCCTTGTAATGTAAACGAAACTGCGCACGCCATATATCTGTAGATGCCCCCCTAATCGGGAACTTTTTCTTAAAACAATCTCTATGTCTTTAGGGAGTACTTCCACGGTGGACTGATAAGTGGTGGTCGTATTCTTTTTTGCTTACGACGCGTTTTGACACGGGTAGGGATGGCTTATTCCGCCGATCCCATGGACAAACGTTACTGTTCAACATCCGACATTCACGAAAAGCAAAAACGTGTTTCGTACAAATTAGTTCCGCCCTTGTAGTCGCAGTTTAAGAAACATTTTCCCCCTCTCCCATGCATGTGCTCCCACTCGATACCTAGTATCCCCCTTTGATTACAGAGCTAGGCAGCAAAAATTCAATTTTTCAGACCCATTTTTGGCGCATAAAACCTACCCGAGTATTCTACAGAACCGCCTTTCCATCATACTGAAAAAAGCTTGATCTCACAGAACGAAAATGTACGTACAAAATGCTCCTCGATTTCTGTGAGTACAGAATTAATATGTCAGGGCGAAAAGACTTATTGTCAGTGGGTGTAAGACTTGCCGCATTTTCTCAGCTTTGGGACCTTTGTAAAATGCAGTTTTTTAAGAGCAACGGTTTGGAAATATCTGTGAATCATCTGAACGCCTTGCCTTAAATTAAACGGAAACAGCCAGTCAAACCTTCACGGTGGTTACCATAAGCATAAATAAAGGGCAATCCTGCACCTTTGCGGTCGGTTAAGGGAAGCACCAACAGTCTCACTCGCTAGTCATGTGGAACACGTACCGTAAGTGGGCTAACTCTTGAAATCTCGCCAGAAATTCCGAAATGCGTTTCCGTCTCAAAAAGATTAATTAAGTAGGGTTGTAAAATTAGTCAGCCTGCACCATAATTCTAAAATAAGTCAGGTACCTTAGGATGCCGGCTTTTGAACAATTTTCTTTTCGGCCGCATCTAAAAACCATGCTCCGTAAAAATGACTACTTCATGAGCATGCATTTTTATCATTTATTTTCGATGCCCCTAAAGATTTAATTACATTTCGTGGAAAACATGCATAAAAATATTCATTCTTTTGCTTATTCAGTAGAAAATTACGTCGTCTTTCAATTTTACACTCGAAGGAAGGGTATGATTCAGTTTCAAAAAAGTTTCTAGTTGTGAGATTTTTTAATACCGTGAAGTGGCCTTTCATAAAACGCCGAAAAGACGTTTGTTCGAAAGCCGGCGTCCTGAGATAACTGAATTTTTATAGAATTATGCCGCGCGATGATTTAGTTTACAAGCCTACTTAATTAATATTTTCTAAACGAAAACGCATTTCGTAATTTCTGTTGAGATTTCATGAGTAAGCCCACCTACTGTATATAGCCTGACAGAATCATACCACTTAACGTTTTTATTTAGGAGAACGACCGGGTTCTAATAATTACCGGGTGATCCAGTCGGTGCACAAGAACAGAGGTATATAAGCAAATAACAATAAATGTGCATTGGTCAGCAAAAAGTCAGGTTTTGAAAAATGGCTAAGTTACGTTCGCCTTTGGGATGTGTAAACTCAAGTCATCTTCAAAGAACTAGACGTGCTAGACAGCAAACATCATATTTTTGCATTAGACGCTTACCTTCTTCCTTATCTCTTCTAGCATACTATAGCTTAGAATGTGTATACCACAAATGATATTGCCTTTTCAGTAGTCATCAGCCGCAGGCGCCCCTCGAAGGTATTTTACTTTCGCAACCATGTCTTCAAGCTCACTACAGTACCCTTATGAATATCCGTTTGTGGATTTATGGGTGGCTATTTATGCCATTTATAGGGTCCGGACTCGGTCTCCGGCACCACCCCTGGCCGGTCAAGGACGACAAATAAGTCCGAAACTGAACTTCCAACTAACCAGTAATTGTAATCGTTAAAACTAGAAAAACCTTCTTTTAGAAAAAATACGCAGAAGTAGTGAATTTGGTCACATTGCCAAACGACATGTTATATCTGCAGTTTCTAATGTATTAATATGGGACAAACGGTTTTCTAAGTGGACTTTTGATGTTTCAATACTA